GAATTTGATATGTTCAAAACAATCAGTTTGTGGATATTTGATTTCAACGTCTGTTTATTTTTACTTTTTCCGTCAGACTATCGGTACAGAGATTGCAGCCCACGAGGTGACAATGGAGGAGATGAAGAAAAGAAATGTTACTTTACCGTCTTCCACCACTGAAGGAAAAGCAGCCCGTGGTGGGACCACGCTCGACCAGCTGCAGGTAACACTGCCCCCTGCTGGTCAGTCACAGAAACTGCTTTCTTATATTCTGTTTTAAAGCAGACTTATCCTGCAAAATCCACTTTTTTTTATAGCTGTTAAAGGCATTTTGTTGTGGACCTGGAGTCTCTATGAGTGCGTAAAAGTTTAGTTTAGCCTCTCTTGTTGCTTAAAAGATCATTTCTGGACTTACCAACTACAATTTCCTCTTAATTCTCCTCTGGTTCTGGGTCAGACTCATGGAAGTTTGGCTGGACAAGTTTTCTGTTGCTGACATATTGCAATTCACTTGTAAGTTAAAAAATTTCCGCACGCTACAAATTACGAAACCCCTCACTCAAACCGGAGTGGACCGGTTTCGAAGCCGGTGTGGGGGGCGGGGCTTGAAGCGCCTTAAAGGAACAGTAACAAAACCAGCTGCTTTGAGACACACACCAGAAAAGGGGTGAAAGAGGAGCTGGTGAAGTTAGAATAAGGAGGAATTCAGTCTAAAGCATTGGTGTTCCACTTTATGAATGATACGTCTATTTTAACACACAAGATTAATATTCAGTTTCACTTCTTGAGGTATATTTTTCTATGAATAATCACACAACTGTGTGGTTTTTATTCACACTTTGTTTTGCTCTCTGCAGAGGAAACTGAGGGAGATCTCAACAAAGTACCAGCTGTTCCAGAAGCCTGCGAACTTTGAGCAGCGCATGCTGGACTGTAAGAAGGTCCTGGAGGGAGCCAAAGCTGAGCTGCACGTTCTGAATGTAAAAGATATGGAGCCAGAGAAGATCAAGTCCCATCTCGCTGCTTGTATGGTGAGAACGTGAGCTTTGTTGTTTGAATAACTGTGTGAGTTTGTGCTCTTTTTTTAGAAAATCATGTTTTTTTCTGTATATATAATGTTTAAACAATATATGTATATTTTTTGCTGTATAGAAGTTGTATAAGTTGCTGAGTGAGGTGAAGCTCGAGGTGGAAACAGTGATCAAAACAGGACGTCAGATTGTGCAGAAACAACAGACTGATAACCCTAAAGCTATGGATGAACAGCTTACAGCCCTCAAACTGCTCTACAACGATCTGGGGGCACAGGTAGCGGTTCTTATTTATATTTAAGCAAATATTTTCTCCTCGTTTCGTAAAAATTCAGCTGATGTAGCGTTGTGGCTCGCTCTCCGCCTCCACAGGTCACGGAGGGCAAACAGGACCTGGAGAAAGCGCTGTCGTTGTCTCAGAAGTTCCAGAAGGAGAGCGCCGCCCTGCAGGACTGGCTGACCACGAGCGAGGCTCAGCTGCAGCAGAAAAACAGCAGTGGAGAAATGACAGCMGACGTTGATGCTGAGGTTGCGTGGGCCAATGTGAGTGGCTGTCCTCGTGTTTAATCTTTGTTTAAAAAAAAGACTAGCTTAGATTACTGTGGGCTTTTTCTGCCTTGTGTGATTACGAATTTTTCCAGTGGTGTGTTTTTAATTAGCAAACCTTTGTGTTTTAGTGACACTTAGATTTATCAAGATGTACTTCCCTATTTCACCAGCAGGTGGCGCAGACGTTCAGATTTTCGCTTCTGAATGCTACAAATAGATGTCTCTTTCTAATTTTATGTGACAAACTGTGTGGGTTTTTGTTAATCTTTATAAAATTTCAAACAAAATCTACAAAAATATTCACCTCTTTAAAACATCTCAGAAAAAAAAGTTTTCTGCCTGTTTAAAATGAGAACATAAWGAAGTGGAGAATGACATAAAGCCTGCGTGGTTTGATCAGGGCCTGCTGAAGGAGACGGAGCGACGGGAGGCGGAGCTGTCCAACCTGATGGAGATCAGCGCAGGTCTGCAGACGCTGGTGGAGGGCAGCGAGGCGCAGCTGGAGGGCAAACTCTGTGCCCTGAACGAAGCCTGGGGCCGCGTGCGCACCTGGACCGAAGACTGGCTCAGCACTGTTCTGGTGAGGGCGAACAAGAAGATTTAACAAAGAGCACAGCAACTTTTTATTTATTTATAAGCAAAAACATTACCTTTGACTTTTACTGTGTCCTAAAATAATCCATCTTAAAAATCTCACAATCATGGCAAAGTTTCAGAACTTAATCACAGAGCTTTTATTAAAAATCATCATTTCATTTGCAGACTCACCAGAACGAGGTGGAAATTTTAGATGAGAACCTGGCTCACATCAGCACCTGGCTCTACCAGACTCAGATCCACCTGGACGAGGCTGAGCGCCAGCCTCCAGCTGAACGAGAAAAGGTCTTAAAGGTGAGATGCTGCATAAACAGAAGTGAAGGTGAAACGATGCTTCAGGCAAACATGAGGAAACGTGATACTTAGTTCTTCTTTTCAGATTATAAAGATAACTTAATATGTTCATTTCTGACTGAAGTACCTTAAAAATTGCACAAATACAGTATTAGAGGACCAGCACTACAGTGGGTGTCTAGTTATTTAAAGGATAGGAAACAGTTTGTGCAAATAAATGATATAAGATCTGAATTAAGTAGTATTACATGTGGGGTTCCTCAGGGTTCTGTACTTGGACCGAAGTTGTTTATTTTATACGTAAATGATTTGGTAAATGTGTCAGGGTTGTTCAAATGTTTTTTATTTGCAGACGACACTACATTTTTTTGTTTTGGTAAAAATATAAAATGGATGTTGGAAATGATGCAGATAGAATTTGCTAAAATACAAACTTGGTTTAAACTTAATCAATTATCATTAAATTTAGATAAAACTAATTATATGATATTTAGTAGAAAGAAAACAACTGATGTTCCATTTAGAATCGATGGTATTGAGATCTGTAGAGTCAGTGAGATGAAGTTTTTGGATGTCATCATAGATGAAAAGCTGACATGGAGACTTCATATAAATCATTAAGAACAAAAATAGCCAAGCCCATTGCAGTATTAAATAAAGGATTTATTTAATGATAAAAGTCTGTTTATATTATATAATGCAATAATTGTTCCACACTTAATCTAC